AAAAAAAAAAAAACCAACTAATTTTGCCTCTGTCTTTTAACCCTGGTGTAGTTAAGTATTTTCTTTCTTTCTTTTTTACATTGGTAAAATGCAATCCCTATCTCCTATCTGTTATGAGGTAAAAATGTGGAAGCACAAAAAATTGATCGTGTACAGTGTGGATAAATTTAATAAATATTTCTGAGTTCCTACTATGGTCAGGTATGTTTCTGGATACTGGGAGTAGAATAAGGACAAGGTCAGGTGGAGTCCTAGCTCTAGCTGGACCTCCTTTCTAGTAGGGGAGAAACCAACCAGGGGATAATGCAATGACGTGGAGTCATATGTGCTATAACAAACAGTAAGAAGAGTTGGGGAGAGGAATCTTTTCTAGATGGGGTGGTTCTGGAATGTATATATGATGAGAGAGCATTTGAATGGGACCTGAAGGAAGTGAGGAGGCAATACCTGAAAGAATGTCTAAGATGAGAATATTCTGGGCAGAAGAAACACAAGTTCAAAGGCTGGATGGAACGAGCAAGGAACCAACCCAGTGTAGAGACTGTTGGGGGAGGGGAAGTGGTAAGAAATAAATTCACAGATGTAGGCAGGAGCCAGATCACGGGGGGATTTTTAGGGTTAGGGCATGGTCATAGCTTTCGATTTCATTTTTGGTGAAATAGAAACCCATCAGGATATAATTCTACGTTTTCAAAGGATCCCTCAGGTTGCCGAGTGGAGGGGAAATTATAGGGAGGCTGGGGTAGAAGCAGGGAGACTACTGAGTATTAAATATGTCAGTAAAGCTTATAAAAGTGGTATGTAGGTTCTCGAAATAAATGGAAATCAGAATATGATCTAATTTTCCTATTCTAGTATGAACACTTCCACCAATTGCTTTTAAAAAATCTCTCCCCCCAAAAATGGTTTCCAAGAAATTATATGTCAATATTATCATTGGCATAAACTTATATACCATTGCAAAATCTTCTCTTTGCATATAATAAGTATTAAATAAATGCTATTGGCATTCTAATAAGTACAGGATATTTATTCAGTAAACAATTCAGAAAAAGTATTGACTTAAAGAAATTTTTTATAAAACAAAAATGCAAGTTTTTTTTCTTTAGTTCAACCAAAAAATATTTGAAATATTTTTGAGCTCAACTCCTATCCCAAAAGACATATTAATTTTCCTGAATTTCAATTTTTATTCTTCAGACTTCTCAGTCATCAAGCTACTTGTGGTGATGATCTACCCAATCACATAATATCTGGAAGAGTTCTGATAAAATCAGATGTTAGGGAGTTCACAGAGACGTCAGCCATCTTTGGAGATGGTACAGAAGAGGACCTTGATGTTGTTATTTTTGCCACAGGATATAGTTTCTCTTTTCCCTTTTTGGAAAACAATGCAACAGTTCTGGACAGCCAGCACTCCATGTTTAAATTTGTCTTCCCCCCTCAACTAGAGAAACCAACACTAGCTTTCATTGGCATCCTCCAGCCAGTGGGAGCCACCATTTCCACATCGGAACTCCAGAGCTGATGGGCCATGCGTGTATTCAAGGGTATGCGCTGACCTTATGCATATTTGGAAAAGGTGACCACCCAAAGAGGTGATTTCAGAGGCATTGCAAAGGTCTTCTGCTGCAAAACATATGTGAAGTTAACCTTTACAGTATCCGAAATTGTACCACTTCATATTTGTTATGTCAGTGTTTGATAGCTATTTAACCTTTAGGATTCCCATGAAAAATGGAGATTAAAAAACTACCTTAAGCTACGATCAAGTGACAACTTATTGGCAAATAATTCTTCAGAGCACGTTAGGGCAGTACCTAGTAGAGGAAGTGATGGAAGTAGAAGAAAGAGCTCAACCTAAAGTATAGATGGGAAATAATGGCTATGCTACTTCTCAATTGTTGCTAGAATAATTCTGGAATGAGCCTAAATTAAAGGGAGCATTTTTTCGCCTCTCACATTCAAAATAAAAGAGGACAGGCAGAGTCACAGAATTATGAATGGTAAATTATGTGAATTATGTGAACTATGGCCAAATCACCAAGTAACTGGGGTAGCACCACAGCACAATTAAAAGAGTAAGAGCTCTGTACCAAGACAAACCTGGGATTAAAACCCAGCTCCCCCAGCGATACCTGGGTGGCTCAGTCGGCTAACCATCTGACTTCAGCTCAGGCCATGATCTCACGGTCTGTGGGTTCGAGCCCTTCATTGGGCTCCATACTCAGAGCCTGTTTGGGATTCTCTCTTTCCCTCTTTCTCTACCCCTCCCTCACTGTGTATTCTCTCTCTCAAAATGAATGAATAAACTTAGAAAGAAAGAAAGAAAGAAAGAAAGAAAGAAAGAAAGAAAGGGAAAACCCAGCTACTCCATATCACTAATTCTAAGGTTGAGAATTAATTGATGAAGACAGATTCACAAACTACCTTTTGTCAATCACATTGTATTAATTCTGCTCATTTGTTTCTCCTTTAAAAAGTTCCCCATATTTTCCCGGAACATTCTGTGTTTCTCAAAATATAGAATGTCACTCATCAAAGAAATGAGGGAGAATTATAGGAAGGTGTCTCCCATGAGTTAAGACGGAAAATTAAGGGGCGCTTGGGTGGCTCAGTCGGTTGAGCGTCCAACTTCAGCTCAGGTCATGATCTCACAGTTTGTGAGTTCGAGCCCCATGTCAGGCTCTGTGCTGACAGCTCAAAGCCTGGAACCAGCTTCAGATTCTGTGTCTCCCCCTCTCTCTCTGTTCCTTCCCTGCTCATGCTCTGTCTGTCTGTCTGTCTCTCTCTCAAAAATAAATAAACATTCAAAAAAAATTTTTTTAAAGATGGAAAATTAAGAATAAATCTTTGTCCAATGAAAACAAGAGACATTGAGTCACTATTTATTAGTAAATACAATATGTATTTGTAAACAAATTCATAACATAAATGAACAGGGGTAACTCACTATTTAAAGGACAGCCTGAGTGGCTTAGTATGTTAAGCATCCGGCTCTTGATTTGGGCTCAGGTCATGATCTCACAGTTCATGGGATCAAGCCTCATGGCAGGCTATGCTCTGCCTTGCTTGGGATTCTCCTATGCAGAGCCTGCTTGGGATTCTCTCTCCCTCTCTCTTCGCCCCTCCCCCCACTCATGCGCTCTCTCTATCTATCTATCTATCTATCTCTATCTCTCAGAAATTAAGTAAATAAACATCTTAAAATATGTGAATAAATAAATAAAGGACAGCCAGAGTGAATGCTCTGATAATGGAAGCACACGCATGCTACTTTTTGTCTTGTCATTTGGGTGTCACTCCCTTCAGTCCATCCTTCTTTGTGGGCTTTGGGGTCTGCTAGTCAAGATGTGAACTCATTAGAGGACATGTCTTTGCATCTGTAAGGCATTTGCATCGGACGGAACAATGAGTGGAGGGCACACAAGAGGACCTCCTGGATCCAGCTCCCTCACTCTTGTGCTGCCTCACTTAGGATGTTCTCCACCAACATGACCCTCAAGGTATTCATTTCTTCTGGAATCTCATCTTCTTTCTTTCCTAGGATTGAACAAATTACCTTCGGTGAGTGGCATGATGGTAGACCTAAGATGGAAGAGAAAAAAATTTGAAAAAGAGTAAGAAACTTGCTTCTTAGTAAAAGTCAATTGGACGTGTTTAGGTGGAGCTGTTTGCCTATCAAAGATTCTTTCTATTTTTCTCATCATACAATCTGAGTCTATTTGCCTAGATGAGATCTCAAATTATCAACTTCGCCATCTCTTCCTATTATAATACATAATATAAATGTAGGGAATATTTATGGGAAGAATGGATACAGAATAGTCCAATATGGAAACCTTAGAATCTTGTTTAAAATTCATGTAACACTAGATAAATACAATTACAAATTTATGTCATATCATAGCCTTAGAGCTGCGAAGTATAAAAAAATGTAAGATGAAATGAAGGGTTGTTTTACTTCTTTAAGGAGTTGGAAAGATAAATCAATGTGAGAAATGAGTTGGCAAATCATTACAGAATCTAATTAAAATACTGACATGAAGTCAGAGGCTCATAGGTTGTATGAAATCTTCTTAATAGAAAATCATTCTCAACCACTGAGGTGGGAAATGTAAGGTATTTCTATGCAACAAATACCTGTTGAGAATTTACAGTGTGAATGTTTACAGCCTGTCTCTAAGACCAAAGGGTTTATCCTAAAAAGAGTCAGTTATCCAGCAACTGGTTTAAAAGGTCGGCCAGGAATTACATTTTAGTAATACTTAAAATCAAATGAATGTCACACATACCTAAATAACTGGCATGTACAATTTCATATTCCCCACCAATTTACCAAAATGAGACTATACCCTGAATGAGAATCCAATGAATGGCCAAAGTACAGGATTTAAGAAAAGAATACCATTAATATAATAACAATCTTCTGAAACCCACCTATTACCATCCAAGACTCTGGGAAGGATTTGAGGATGAAAAATACAGTGTGTGAATATTTTGTTAGAAACCACTGAGAGGAGTGCCTGGGTGGCTCAGTCAGTTAAGCATCTGACTCTTGATTTTGGCTCAGGTCGTGATCTTGTGGTTCATGGGATTGAGCCCCATGTTGGGCTCTGTGCTGGAAGTGCTGAGCCTGCCCAGGATTCTCTCTCTCCCTCTCTCTCTGCCCCTCCTCGGCTTGTGTGCTCGTGCTCTCTCTCTCTCTCTCTCTCTCTCTCTCTCTCTCTCTCTCAGAAGTAAATAAATAAACAAGAAAAATTTTAAAGAAAAGGAACCACTAAGAAATTACCCGTAGCCATCAGTCCTTTCCCCCATGGGTTATCCCCTCACACAAAGTCCACCGATGTTTAGAGGAAATTATGCTTGGAAGGAAGGAGGTTGTCATCTGACTTGAGGTTTCTGACTGCGGTTTTTTTCCCCTTCTGCTTTCAGATTCCTGAATAATCCTCGCGACACATGCAGAGTGCAATACGTGGAATACATGGATGAGATTGCCTCTGAAATAGGAGCGAAACCCAACCTGCCCTCCATCTTCCTGTGGGATCCAAAGATGGCTATAGAAATTTTCTTTGGCCCATGCACGCCTTACCAGTACCGCCTGCAGGGGCCAGGGAAGTGGGCTGGGGCTCGGAGAGCCATCCTGACCCGGAGAGAGTGGATCATCAAGCCCCTGAGGACTCGAACCCTCATCTGTGACCAGCCTCCATCCTCTGTGCCATTTTGGCTTAAAAGCGCCTGTGCAGCTCTTCTCCTCTTTGTTCTCACCTTAGTCATTATTAAAGGATAATCCTATGATCTTTAGTATATTAGGAGCTGACAGTAACACACACTAATTAAGGAGATTGAGCGTGTTCAAGTATTTATCCCTCAATTCAGACTAGACCAGTACAACGAATAATTCCAAAATCTCTCTGTGTGAGTGTTTTGGCAAAATTGGAGATTTCTTCAACAGAGAGTTCAAATGAAGTGGGTTGTATGAAACTTTGCTTTGGAAGTGAAAAGTTAATTTCCATAATATGGCAGATGTTCTCAGTTACGCCAAGTTCTCCTAGGCCCTCCTTTTATAATAAACACACGGTTTGTCAGCTATTCGCAATTGGCAAATTCTTGGTTTCGCGTGTAAAGCACAGGCTGGGAAAAAGTATCTCTTCAAATGATCTCGAATAGCTAACGATGAACAAATGTCCTCATCAGAAGCCTTCTCCTCGGGGCCCTGGGTGGCTCAGTCAGTTAAGCGACCAACTTGATTTCAGCTCAGGTCAGGATCCCAGGGTTGTGGGATGGAGCCCCATGTTGGGCCCCATGTTGGTTCCCCACTTAAGAAGGTGTGGAACCTTCTTAAGATTCTCTCTCTCCCTCTCTCTGCCCCTCCCCTGCTCACACTTTCTCTCTGTCTCAAAATAAATAAACATTAAAAAAAGAAAGAAAGAAACCTTCTCCTCTACAGTCACATTCTATAGAATCATGGACATTGAGGTAACAGGTTACTTATACGCAGGTTATTTCAGGTATTACTGAGGGTATTTTAGGGGATGGAGAATACCACAGAGGAATAATAGAAGTCAGAAAATGCACATAATTTGTGTTCTGTTAAAACTATCCAAACATGGAACAAATTCTACAGTAAACATACAAAATTCTATAAAATCGTTCAGGAGAATGTGAAGAAGAAACGGGGAGAAAAAGTAGTAAGTGTACATACACGTGGTGAAATGATGACCATAATCAAGATAATTAACATAGTCATCATCTCACATAGATATGTTTATTTTTGAGATGAGAACACTTGAGATCTACCCTCTTAGCAAATCTCAATAATATATCCAATGCAATATACAATATAATATTTAATACTTTAGTAAGACAGTATTATTAACTATAGTCGCCATACTGTACATTAGGTCTCCAGAACTTATCATCTTATAACTGAATGTTTCTTTGACCAACATCTCTCCATTTCCCCCCAACCACCAGCCTTTGGTGACCACTCTTCCACTCTCTAATTTCTAAGAGTTTGACTTTTCGTAATTCCGTAAGTTAGATCATGCCGCATTTGTCTTTCTGTGTCTGGTTTATTTCATTTAGCGTAATGTCCTGCAGTTTCGCCCATTACATTACAAACGGTAGGATCTCCTTCTTTCATAGGGCTAGATAATACTCCATTATGTATATACACACATCACATTTTCTTTATCCCTGTATCCATCAATGGACACTTAGGTTGCTTCCATATCTTGGCTTCGTGACTAACACTGCAATGAACTTAGGAGTGTAGATGTCTCTTCAAGATCCTGTTTTCATTTCCTTTGGATAAAAACCAACAGTGGGATTGCTGGATCATATATATGGGAGCTCTAGTTTTAATAGTTTGAGGAACCTCCATGCTGTTTCCTATACTGGCTGTACCAATTTACATTCCCACTAAAAGTGTAAAAGGGCTTCCTTTTTCAATTCTCTTGATTCCTCTCTTTCATATCCCATATCTAGTTGAATAGCAAATCATATCCCCTTCACAGTTAATCCAGAATCCCACCATTTCTCACCACCTCTAATGCTACCACCTTACTCCCTGTCACCATCTTGCATGTGTCATTATAATAGTGTCCTCAGCACATTCCTTCCTTCACCCCTAATCTCTGTGGTTTATTCTCACTGGTGCAGCCAAATGATACTTTTAAACCATAAACCAGGGCCTCCTGGATGGCTCAGTCTGTTGAACGTCTGACTCCTGAACTGACCGACCACAGGTCATGGTCCCAGTGTTGTGAAGTGGAGCTCTGCGTAGGGCTTCCTCGCTGAGCATGGAGTGTGCTTAAGATGTCACTCTCTCTCTCTCTCTCTCTCTCTCTCCCTCCCTCCCTCTGCCCCTCCCCCACTCACATTCTCCCTCTAAAATAAAATTTTAAAAAATAATAAATAAAAATATAAAACATAAACCAGATTATGACACATTATATCCAAAAGTGTCAATGGCCTCCCTGTCACTGAGAGTGAAGGCTAAATCCTAACAATCCTACCAGGCCCTTTATGACCTACTTCCCCACCACTTCTCTGGCCTCCTCTATCACTGCTCTCTTCCGTGTCCATTCCTTGAACAGGCCAAGCCCACTCTCACCTCAGGGTCATTGCACCTGCACATCCACAAAGCTCACTCCTTCACCTCCTTTGGGTCTTTGCTCCAATGTTATCTTTTTTTTTTTTTTTTTTTAATTTTTTTTTTCAACGTTTATTTATTTTTGGGACAGAGAGAGACAGAGCATGAACAGGGGAGGGGCAGAGAGAGGGAGACATAGAATCGGAAACAGGCTCCAGGCTCTGAGCCATCAGCCCAGAGCCTGACGCGGGGCTCGAACTCACGGACCGCGAGATCGTGACCTGGCTGAAGCCGGACGCTTAACCGACTGCGCCACCCAGGCGCCCCATCCAATGTTATCTTTTAAAGTGAGTTCTTTCTCTATTTTTTTTTTTTTTT